AAACATGTTCGAATTGAATGTTTGGATTGAATGTTTGAATTGAATGTTTAGATTGAATGTTCGAATTGAATGTTTGGATTGAATGTTCGAATTGAATAATCGAATGTTTGAATTGAATGTTCAAATTGAATGTTGGAATTGAATGTTTAGATTGAACGTTCGAATTGAATGTTTGAATTGAATAATCGAATGTTTGAATCGAATGTTCGAATTGAATGTTTGGATTGAATATTCGTATTGAAAGTTCAGATTGAATAATGGAATGTTTGAATGGATTGTCGAATTGAAAGTCGAATGTCCGAAATGAAAGTTGGAATTGAATAACCGCTTGTTTAAATTGCGTGTCCAAATGTTGCAACCGGGATTTTGCATGCCTGCTTTGAATGTTTCACTTGATTGATTGAATGTTTGGAGTGTCGTATGTTTGAATGTTGTGAGTGTATTTTAAACGCCTGATATGAATGTTGTATTGGAGGGTTGAATGTTTCAATTGAATAGTTAAATGTTGCCGGTGAATGATGGTATGCGTCGATAAAAGGCCTAAGTTTGAATTTTGGCGGTGATGGAACGCCTTAGAAGAAAGCTATGTATCATTGTTAATTAAAGAACATCTAAATTTCACGTTTGAAAAATTCCCGCAGCGTTTTATATAATCTTGTATAAAATAGACAAAGCATCATTTTACGTTTATTTTTTCTGGGCTTGAACATTAGCGGCTTGACACAAAGTAATCGAATCACTGTTTGCGTGAACAAGGGTTATGGCCTTCCCGCACTGGCGAAAAAATTGTCTATTCAGACAAATTTTCTGTCCTTGCCGACATTTTACAAGCACGGACGGTTTGGCGTGACTTGACAAATTTTTAAAGGGGGGATGATTAAGTTTCTAAAGAAACTGTGGTGCTGCGTCGGTGGGGCTAACAACATAATTTGGTAATATCAACTAAGTTGAAATTGTAAATTGGCCACCGTAAAGAGTTAAAAAGCTGACCGTTTCGAACCGATTAGCCCTTCGTCATTCAGCTCTGACGAAAGGCTAACGTTCGAAACGTCAGGTTTTTAACTCTTTACGGTGGCCAATTTACAATTTCAACTTAGTTTATATTACCAAATTATCACGACAAATGTTTGCTGAATCGGACAAATCTTTAAATGCACCGCCGACAAAATGTTTTTTGTTCCGGGACAAAATCGACTAACTAAACAAAACAGTGATAAACTTGTCGATCATCTGTCATAAAAGCTACGACCAACATGTAATTGAACTAAAGACAATTTATTAGAATGGCAATAATGGTCTTTTGTCGCAAAACTCGGGGATTCGGAAACTTTAAACGAATTAGGATGAACCCTGGAAATTGGAGTTAGAATCCTTTGGCAAACTGTTCTGGCTAGTTTTATGAGCAGATCAGGAGCTGACGGAATTTGATAGCTTTGAAAATTTTAATGCGGATGCAACAGACGAAACAAAAATTAGTCATGACAACATTTGTCCCTTGATTTTTGTCGGGACAATTTTTGTTTTGTCATATCAGCCTTTGCTCTCGATCAGATACAAGCGATGATCCTACCTTTTTAGAAGGGAGAGACTTTATACATATTACAACGTGATAACTCGCCCTGGATAGCTGTTGAAAAATATCATAGTTAAAAATATTAAGGAAAACAGACTGAACAGAAGGGTTTTCTTTGCGCCGGGAAACATGCTACGAACACCATGTTTTCTTGTGTTTGCCTGTAGTTAATACAAAGATGCCTAGCGTTCTCCGCAATAGGAAAACGAAATTTGAACATAGCGTTTCCCTTGAATTTACCGTTTGGTACAATTAAAGGCGAGCGGGGGATTTATTTGCAGTGTTCTAAAGGGCTCATTTTTCTTGTTTTGTATCATTACGTGGTACGCAAAATGGAGTTTTCATAGGAGGATTCATGCGGATGGCCAGATTCCCCTTTAGATCATTCAGATTGGCAATAACTATAAAATTATCGGGCCCTCATTCATTGAGAGCGATAACTACCTTATATCATGCCACACATCCGCATGCTAAAATGTTTCTATGACCATGGTCGATGGATGAATGATCGAAATGTACTTGGAGAGTACGCTACAATTAGTCTCGTTCAGCATGAAACAGGTTGGTCTCACTGAGCTTGAGGTAAACACTATCACGAGAGATTTTAAATCGGTTCATCGACTCGGTGCCCTTTACCAAATAATGCGATGTTACATTCGTCTGAATGGCTTAGGAAAGAATGAGGTAGAACACGGAGTGGCCGTACCGAAACAGTTTACTTTAGTATTTAAGCCGCACCTTAGCGGCCGATGGCTTGTGAAGAGTTTCAAGAAAGTGAAAAAGGCCTAGGTGTACTGTTCCCCGCGGGACCAAACAATGTGTGTAGTGTGAAGAGGTGGTCATTGCAGAGGGATGGCCGCAGGTTAACCTCCATACATGTCCAATACTTAACAAATGGTAAACACCACAGCGTACACTATTGAGTTATGGATGCACGCGGGAGGTTGCTAAGCACGAAAGAAGCGTAAGAGTCACTCGAGGCGATAGCCGCGAGAGCGACTCTAGCCTCTTGAGTGCTTAGCAAACCTCCCAAGTGCATCCATAACTCAATAGTGTACGCTGTGGTG